AGTATATCTAGTACAATGTTAAACTCATCTTGCATACATCTAATATATTACTTACTAGGGTTAAATATCAAATCATGAAAATCGAGATAAGCGCAAGGAAGTACATTATCTGAGGAGGACTGTGCATTCATGCGTTTAGCATAGATAGAATAAGTTCACTACTGATAATTGAGTTTCAACACGATTACTATCAAGTCTTAATAGAGCAGTCTGCTATTTTCTCTTATCAGTGAAATCTATGACAGAATTTGGGGTTCTTGAGTAGTAATAATAAATAGAAGAGAGATTCTTATGCTTCCCTTTTATGTTGCAGTGAAAATATCCAGAAATATTAAGTCATTTGTTTGCAACAATTAGAGCATTCATCCCACGTGTCATTCAGCTAGCAATGAAAGGTCTCAGGTTATAATCCTGACGACGTTTTTAAAGAAAAAGCAAACTATCACAGTGAGTGCTGCTAAATTAAAATATGTTTGGAGATAACTGATTTTAATGCCCCATGATTTTGATGCCTGAACGTCAGTTCGTTTTTGAGTCCCAAATGAATTGAGTATTTAAATGAAAAGGATGCCAGAAATTCACGGCATACTTTTTATGTATTTTTGTGATTCTGAGGTCAGCACTCCAGATAGTATCCGTGAGGCCTTGGATTCGATTTCTGGAAAGAGCATTACTGATTTTTCAAGATTACTGCATACAACAACAATGACATAATTCAATAAAAATAATAATGAATCTATGAGGTAACATCAAAATGTCGGAAGCGCCTATTTGATCAACTTACAAGTTTTTAATTGAAGAATGCTGCTTTAAAAGCTTCTTGCACAGTAGAGTCTGCCACTATTAAAGCATCGTTTATGTTATATGCACCAAATATGATATGTATTTATGTGTAACAGAATGATTGGCAAGTCAAATCTATATTGGGTGATTACTTTTCACTTTCAGTAAAAATAGAGATTTATTCGAAATTAATATAACAAATTGAAATGCCTGAAATATAGAAAATTTCATTCATATAGTCATAAGGCATCATGGCAACATAGTTCTTGGCGTCGTTTCTAATCTAGCAACCCCTTAAGGAGGTGGCCAGACACGGGGCGATGGTCCGTAAAGAAACCCTTGCTGTTCCATAATTCATTTGCTCCACTGTACCGCATATGTTGGCCGGAGAACTCCCATCATCGCTTCGGGGATGCAGTCTGTCCCGCCCTCAACTGTTCTATGCAGTCTTTCTCCATCCCTCGATGCTCTGGCAGCATCTTTCTTCCTTACCCTTCTCCTCCGCCCTCTATCAACGATGAAATGACCATCCATTATATTTGAAAGATATCTCCTCGAGTTTTAATTTCTAAGATGGATTACAGCCGCTAGATGTTCCTCGATGCCCCCTGATTTTATCAGAACAGATAATGTATATTTTTACTGCACTTTTTTTCTTTTACCTGGAAGTTTTTATAAGCGGTTTTAGTTTGGATACAAGAAGATGGATTTTTCTTTCTGGGAAATAATACACCATGAATATACTATATAGGCTTCTCAAGAATAAAATGTGAAAAAGAAAAACTCATATATCTGAAATCAGTGTTTTTACTGTAATTTGGTTTATATAGCTGGAAAGAAAACTCAAAAGGATTTGTTTTCCCAAAAGCTTGGCGTGGAGCTTAACACCTTTATATTTCTTTCTGGGTGGGTGGTTGTATCCGCTCAACCGGAATAGTGGTTTGTTGCTCTGACTGCCGCACCGAAGGGCCCAGGTACGAAACCTGGAGAAGGCATGGATGTTTGTTAATGAATAGTGTCTGTGTAGCGTGGGGGTACTCTAAATATGTTGCGAACCGGAAGTCCTCTCGAGGGGTTATTGGTAGGGGAAGAGGGTTGGGAGACCCTCCGATCCGTCCCCTCGGGATGTTCCGCATCAAAAGTGGGGCGGAACTGAGCAAAGTCATGCTATCACCTGCATAGTGCTTAAGGCACTTGCCAGCGATAGGCGTAATCTTGCACTTTTTGTCACAATGAATTTCATGGGCTTATTCTGATGTTGCTACAGACAAGTGAGATAAGTCACAACAACAACAACAACAACATATTAACATGATGTGGCCGATGTTGCAAATCTGTGTGCTTGAATTATGGAATCGATATGATTGACATATCAGTGATCTTTTCCAATCTGCAGAATCAATATCACCTAAATGTAGACGAGCTACAAATGGAGACCCTATAGGAGAGAGGTTCTAAAATATTTTCAGCAATTTTTTCCAGCTGCGTAAACCGCAGTGCAATAAACACAACAATTTTGGACGTGTCATTCTTTTTCATAAGTTCTTTCTCGGACTCTCTGTATGTATATGCAACCTAACTTCTCAGAAAGTACTAATACGGTTGATTATTTAAATTCCCGAAACTTTACAGTAAATTTATATATATATATATATATATACTTATGGCTTACTTCTAAATATGATATTTAGTTATACAGCTGTTTTTTGTTGAACATATTCAGTATTCAACACATTAGGCTTTCACGTATGAGACTGGCTAGCATGCATAGTTTTTTATGTTACAGTGTTTTATCTAAAGGTCATATGGTCATATGGTACAAAATATGGTACTCCTTACACTGATTTTATGGGAAAAAAGGACTTAAAGGTATATTAATTTAATAGTCGAGACCTCTCCTTATTTATAGCCTTTATTAAAGATAGTTTGAATACGCAAGTAATTCTTCCAAATGGATCTCAAAAAAACTAGGACCCTTAAAGTTTCAGCATATCATAGTATAATAAATTTCAAAACGGTTTTTAACACGGCTACTATCAGTATGGCTTCCAATGTTCCTTTCTAGAAATGTATGTATGTTCCTTTCTAGAAAGGAACGTCTCAGCTTGACGTCTAAAATGCCATTGATAAAGGGGTTTTTTTTATTTTTTTATTTTTCGGTTGTCTGTTCCAGGGTGCACTAAAAATATCTGCGAACTTCTCTAGGAAAGTTTTTTTATCTTATATAAATATGTACATATAAATTGTTTTATAATATTAACCTAAATTTATATTATATTTCAAAATTAAAACAAACTCTTAATAACTTCGAAATCAGATTATTTTCAGAGCGGAAAATACGATATGCCTAAATGCTTGTATTCTCTAGCCTGGATTCGATTCACAAATCTTTAAGCTGCTAACAAGATGCGCTTCCCTTAAGCAACGAAAGCACCACGGAAGGATCAGATAATTTCTTATACTACCCTCTAATCACAAGGAAAATCAGGAAAAGTCAATCCGTTTCGAAAACAAGCACCAGAAAATGTGATAACTATACCCTTATAAGTGGTTAGAATGCAAAGTTTCTAGACCTTTTTCCCATATATTCGGTCTCTCCATCTAAATTAATATTTAATGCTTATGAAAACATTTTGTGGTAGCATACAGAATATAAGTCAATTTTAATGTAACTAACTACGCTCAAATGATAATATACTTTTTAATATTTTGTTAGTTTACAATTTATATATTTTTGCGAAAAAATAAATTGCAGAAACAAATGCAGCTTTTAAAATCGAAATTCCTTTTTTAGAACTGTGTCTTAATTTTATTCAACAGTAAAGACAAAATTTCATTAAATGGCAGCAACACATATTATTTTTATTTAAGAAGGAAACCGATATATTTACACAATTTTTCTTATTTTTTGTTAAAAGTTTTAATGAGACAACCTTTTTTAAAAAATCATATTGTAATTCGAAGTTTTTAAAAGGCAATTCTATTGTTTCAACATTTTGGAGATGAGTATTGCTTTCCTTTAACGTGTAAATTCCCAACGCAGCAAAATAAAATCCGTAGACTCGTTTATGTCTCGAAAATGAGCGTATGAGAACAGCGAAATGAATTTAGATTATAGCAGCCCTATGCAAATTTTGCTGTTGCGGGAAACCTAAAGCCTTTAATACGTGTTCCACGCGCCCTCATACCCTTCATCAGAATGTTGTAAATTATCAGAACTAAGATTTTAAAATTATCTTTCAAATTTAATCAGTTTGTTATTGATGGAAAAAACTGAACGATTTTAAATCTATAAAGGCATTTTATAATTTAAATCTTTATTTTAATTTTTTAATAATGATATAAATTAAGATACATTTTATATATAATATTCCCAACCGATAACTTTTATGAGCCAGTAATAGTAAAAGTTGAGGGTTAACACTATACGAAACAAAAGGCCTTAATTTAAACATTCCTGGCACATTTCTTAATTTCAGAATGTTGCCTTTCAACAAAGTAGTATAAAGTTTCTAATCTATCATTTAAACTTAATCGATTTGTTAATGATAAATAAGCTGAACGATTTATAAACAGTTGTTTATTAATTTTAATTCTTAATTTTAATTTTAATAATGAATTTAATTGAAATAAATTAAAACGAACTTAGTTTTAATCAACTGATAATTTTTATGAGTTGTTTTTTTAAATTAAATGTAATTTAATAACTCAGTGTAAGCCTGTTATAAAACATAAGTAAAATTAAATGTAAAATGCTAACGGATTTTTAAATTAATTGTAATATTACTTTTAAAATTTTAATATAAAGAAATCATAAATTAGATGCATTTTAATACTGATGTAATAATATCGTTTTCTATAAGTAATAAAATATATTTCTAACACCCTATGCTACATATTTTTACGATATTTTCTTTTTTAAATTTGAATAATATTTTTAATTTTTTAAAATAATAGTTTACTTTGTTTGGCATTTTCATTAGTAAACTCGTTTTGGATGTATAGCCTATTTCCTGCAGTTTTTCTCTCACATCCCACCTCCAAGTGTCCGAACCACTTCCGAGCATTCCTCCATATAGAGAGATTTAGTTGTATATTAAAACGACCCCAGTCTAAAGATGCTTCTGTTCTCTAATCTCTTATTTGTTGCTGATGATGTGATGGAAAATGTATTGTACAATTACTGTGGAAATTTATTTACATTTTCGTACTTTTAGCCATATGAAGAATGACTGAATCTTACATTTCCGTGGTCACTCAAGAGTTGATCACTTGTGGAACTCTTCTTGGACCCCTTCCTTTGACATCAGGTTCTCCAGATTCGCTAGCAGTGTTAACGTGGCGCTGTATTGACAAATTACCGATTTCAAAGCAAGTGTTGAAAGTAAGTAGCTTAACCTGCAGCTTTGGATGATATGTTTCTAATGTCAGCATAATAATATTATGTAACTCTATGTAGGAAAAAAGCAGATGAAACATTAAATAATGTACCAGAATTATTCCATTATATGTGATAACTTTTAAACTTAGTCAGTCAAATTTAAATTCAAAATTGCTGAGAAATGGCAGAAATAATACATGATGGATTGAACACAGCTTTTATTATTGTTGCCCGAAGCTGCTTGTTTAGAAAAGCACCAATTTTAGGCTAAGGTAAAATAATAATTTCTGTTCGGCAGAAAATATTTTCGTGTAATTTCGAAAGTAAACTAAGAGATTTATTTACATGTTTAAAACTGTCTAATACGTTTTTAACCAAACTTTAAATCATTTTAGTACTGTTTATTCACTTTATATGCTTTGTGTAAATATTGGGCTTAAATGTTTGTTTTAATAATTATCAACAGTCTGATCCCTTCAGATAAATATTTCACACTTTATGCTCTGTAAATTGATAAATATATAAGTTGGTGCTTACAAGCAATCTAAAATATAGCTACTTAGGAAGTATTTAAATTTACTAAGCTTCTAAATTTTAGCATGTTTATAACAATTTTGTGTATTGATTACAAATAATCTTATATACCGTTATATTTTCTCTGTTCTCGAATGCACCTGACACCTTACAAATAATTCAGATATTGTTATTACTTATTTTTCTGACAACGAGTGATGACATGTTAAGAAAGGTGTCCAAATTTCCCATTACAGAATTTTATGCAATTTTCTTTAGGTAAATAAAGATCATTAAAACAAGAAACAAACTCTCGCAATGCTTGCTCTAGCATGTCTTTTGTTACAGTATGTATAGCAGTAGTGATCATTTTTGAGAGACTTGTTGGCACCCGTAGATTGATTTCATTATATGATAGATAAAGGAAAAACACTCGGCAGCTATTTACTTAAAAGGAAGATTATTCTCCTGAAGGAAGTTCGAAGAGATATTGCTCGTATTCACTTTATATATGGAGAAAACAAGCATACAGCCACCCCGTTTGCTGAGAGTCAAATTACCAGTGTTCAGTGACCTTATCCACTCTGCCGCTACTGGGATGGACACACGTGGAAAAAATACGTTATTCCTATCGTTAATCTAAATAAAACAACAGCGCATGGCCTAAGGTCCAGTAAGCTGCAGAATACAAATTGAATTCATTGAGTCGTTAATGCATTATATCACTAAATCGCTGGTTCCTTTAAAACTAATGCATGCCGGGAAAATATTTTGTTAAGAAAACAGAGAGTCCTATAAATTATGCAACCAGAAGTTAAGTCCAGCATTCTAAATAATATACTGTATTTTTCTGAGGCATTTTCATGAAATCAGCTAATTACTCATGTAGATATTATATTTAAATCCAACCTGATTATATTCTTAACAGTTATAAAATAAAATGCAGAAAATTAAAATAATTTGCAAATTAATGTTGATTAAAAACTTCACAAATATTCATTAATGTTATAAATTAGGTATCGCTAAGGGAACAAAACAACAGCAGAAGTTTGCCCAAGACACCACCGTGGTTGGCTCATATTCTTCCCGCCAGAAATCCGGAAGAACAGAACTTGGAGGTGATTGTAAAGGGTGGACAGCTATACTTTCGGGCTTTAAGAGACATTATTGCCAGTGAGGAACTCAGAGCTTGGTTCGGTCAAGATTTGGTCGATATCCTGAAGCTGCCAATGATTCCTCCTAGCATCGTAGAAGGTAAGCTTACATAATTGACCGAATATTACTAAAGGAAATGGGTATTAGAATAATAAAAGTTTAAATAAAAACAATATTCTATCCTCGAGATTTATATTGAGCTGAAAATTAAATTGAATTAATTTATGTAGTTAATGATATCACAGAAAGGTCGTATGATATAATGTTAACTGTATGACAAAGATTTCAATTATTTATTTAAAATAGCATGAGTATGAATGTACAGAGTGATATACACCCTGGGCACATTGTGGTGAAATTATTCGATCATTAGTGAGTTATCCAGAGCAGCGCTCAGAAGCGTTGATGGCTTACAGTTGTGACTTGCTACATTCTTTTAATTCGCCTTATTAAGGTAAAAAAGAAACACAAAAGTAGAATCCGCTTCTTATCAGCTGATCATCGAAAAACATAATATAATAACATAACCTGAGTTACTATGAATATCTTCTGGCATCAACACTTTTGTCTGGTTGCTTTATAAAGACTCTGAACTTATTCAAAAGCTGACTGTAGAAATAAACCACACTACTTATGGACCAATCTTCTGAACTGGTTAAAGACCCAGAAGTGGGTTTCTTTAACCAATCCAAATATTGGCTGTGAAAGTAAGCGGCTTGATTGGTGAAACTTTTGTAATATTCAGTTATTATAAAAAGAGTTTGGAACTTGGTATCTTTGTAGTGAATCGCCAGTATATCTGAAGAAAATGAGAGGAAATGGGCGTTTTATCATGCTTAAAATACTAAGTCTTCAGGTGGAATTTTTTAGTTGTCAGGCTCTTTAGCAGCACTTCATTGCAAACCAGAGGAAATTTCCTGATTATTCTTTCTGTATCTAAAATTTGTGCTACTGTCTAAATTAATATTAAATATCTGATATATTTATTTGTACATATACTGTATTTATCCATACGTCTGGCATTAGTCGTATTTTTTTCCCAAAGCAGCTATCGTGAAAAGTAGATCGAAAGAAAGTAGCATATTAAAATAATGAAACTATTGGCAATGTTTTTTGAAACATTTGAATTTATTGAATATGTTTCAGCAATTTATTTAATATAAATGTGTTAGCATGTGAAAAAGAATAGAATGCTTTCATTGAAAATTACTTTTTTCTATAATTAAATAAATGTCCAACAGTATTCAGTATCAAATTATTATTAATCGAATTTTAAATTATTCAAAATTCAATTTGTTTCACGCTTACAAAATTAAAATAAGCAAATATTTAAGAAATCTTTCATCTGCTATCTAGGTGTCGCATATACATCGTTACATATATGCAACATATGCATACTGCAATGGAGTTTCATAGATGTAATATGGAGTTAAATTAGAAAGTATAATCATATTCAGATAGCATTCATTGCTAAGAAATAGACACAAAAACCCTCTCTGTGCCTTTGTGGATTTTTAAATCGAAATCTTTCTATATATCAAATCTTTATTTCTAAAGACAAGAATTTCATTTATTTGTGAAAAGAGATATATAATGGTTGATAATTTATTATATATTAAGGATAGTATAACATATGAAAGGATAATTTTATAAAAAATATAAACAAATAAATTTTGCAAAGAATAATTTGTACTTATGTATAAAACAGGCTAGGTTAAGCAGTTATTTGTACAAAGTTTTTACAAAAAAGTATTTATAAGTAGCTTTGCATTTAATATTCATCTTAAATATGTACTTCTTAATATAGAGAAACTAAAACTAAGAAACCTGTTCAGTTTGCTGGTGGCTGAAGGGTTCTATAAAAATAAAATGTAATAATTGTATAAATATTTCGATTAATAAAATATATTTTATGATCCAATTAATTAAAACCAAGAACTTTTATACCTTTATCTTCAGCATTCATGGATTAATACTTATTTTCTGCTCTCAAATCCCTTAATTTACATATGTAATAAGTATAAAAATGGACTAAATCAATAAGATATTATTAGAATCTCTCTGTAGTCTAAGCTATGAAATGTTTGGCTTTTGACTAATGAAGCATGATGAATACATCATTAATCGAATTTGTGTGATACGGGGCAGCTAAGAAAACTAAAATTTGATTCCTACATAACTCTAACAACCATAGGTTTGTTTTAAGCTGTTTTCACAAAATTCTGCACGTTGTTTTAAAAAACACATTAAATAGGTGTATATGTCCAGAAGCAGTATTTCTAGAAATAAGGGATATAGCGGATTTTGTGAACGTTTTTATGCTTTCCTTCAATAATCAAAGAGAGACATATGTAAGTCTTTCTGGGAACATGATATATGCTTCTTTTTAATTTTAGGTGAGAAGAGATTTGAATGTATGCTGTGCCAAGAACAATTCGAAAATCCGTTTCCTGTGGTTGCTCACCTGATGTACCGATGCCGACGTAAAGACCAAGGAGTGACACCCGTTCAAAATCCATTTCGAAAAAAGAACGGTGGACGGGTGAAAAATTTCGACATTGCAACTTTGACTGACATGAATGATAGTGAAATAACTGGCAGTGAAGAGCACAACTCACCACCGCCTACCATATCCACAAACGTCTCAAAACTCTCCCCCAAGGAAGCTTTACAAGAAGTGAATAGTGAAAGTTCTAATAAGAGGAAGAAAAAACTTGAAAATATTGAAGAATACCTATGTGCGGCCAAAAGGCCGAAGACAGATACCACGAAATCAAATGAAACAGCATTGAAACTAGACAAAAAAGGTGCTAATCTGATAAAAACACAGTCCAGCGCTTTTAAAATATCTTCATCGCCGGGATCTGTCACTTATCATCCACCAATATATACGGGTGTCGATCTCCATCCAACAGAAAGTAACAGCTCAAGTGCTTTCAAGAAAGTCGACAAATCAAGTAACTCATTCCATTCAAACATAAGCTCGGTGTCCAGTTTATTTCCCGGAACTTTAGACCCAAGGGAAATTTTATTTCAAGCTGGATCTAACAATTTTTCGCCATTTCCGTACCCTATTACCCCTGTGACAAGTAGCCCCCCTTGTGGAGGGGTCACTCCGTCACAGAATGGTATTAATGCGATTCCACATCCAACGCTAACCAGTCCTTCCATAGATGTGCACATGACAAGTGCTTTTGCACCAAGTGCGAAGATTGCAACGACAGTTTCAAATACATCTGTTAATATACACCAACAGCTGAAAATTGCGGAAGAACTGAAGATGATGAGGAAGATTCCAACCTTGCCAGAAGGAGGTTATGAATTAAGTCCTCTGATTCCATCAGGCATTAATGGAGCTCGTATGTCTAGCATGTCAGCTGCTTTGCATTATGCTCCCAAACCTCAGTCTTTAGAGGCATTTCCAGGGACTAAAGGATTTCCTACACCTCTTCTTCCATTCTTACCCCCTTCCTTGGCAGCTCTATCTTTCCCAACACAGAATTGGTGTGCCAAATGCAACGCTTCTTTTAGAATGACCAGTGACTTAGTTTATCATATGAGGTCTCATCATAAAAGAGAGACAGATCCACAGAAACTGAAAAGGGAGGAAAAACTGAGATGTCACATTTGTAATGAAACTTTCAGAGAAAGGCACCATTTAACAAGACATATGACATCTCATCAATGAACAGAATCTTGTAAGTTGGGAATGGGAACTTCTAGTTTGCTTCGTGTTAATGGTTGAAATACTTTATATTGAATCCCGAGACTGCTTTAATTAAACTAAAATGAAAGAGTCAGTCTGCATATTGATATGAGGTTTTGTTACAGATACATGCTTCATAAAATAGCGAAAGTTTTCAAATATAAAATACGTAAAATCGGGCCATTGGTATTTTAGGAAGAAATGAAACAAAAATTCTTAGGTATCTGTGAAAAATAAAAACATTTTCATGGTATCGCGTTGAAGAAGAGTTTTATTACGAATACCCTCTACAAAATATTTTATTACACAATATTATTGTTATATATTATTATTATTATTATTTTTATAAAACAGAGCTTAAATTCGGCCTCAGCCCGCCATAATAGAGCTTCAATAATTCTCAGTTTTTGAGTGAAATTTAGTTTCAGGAGAAGCCAGCTGAATCTCTAAGTTACGGCGAGTTTCGATAATTTGTTGCGTAATTGTACTACATTATAAGCTCAGGATTCTGTCATTAATTAAACATTTGATTTAACAGTCAGTAAAATGATGTTAGCTACTGAATCATGCTTCAGTTTCTGTCCAGTAAGTAAAGCACGCGGACAAACTTCATTACCCTGAGAAACAAGTCTCCATTTCAAAATAGCAATTATCTTTCCAAGAAGAGGATTATTTATGGATTCTGTTTATTCTATGAAGAAAGCTTTATGTGAATTGAGGGCTAAATTGAGAAACCAGTTTTATCCCATCTGAATATAATTCAAAATTTTGGTGTACTATACCTTGTTTTCATGAATTATTAAATTTAGAATTCTTATAATTATAATTAATGTTCATTAATTTACAAATATTATTATTTGTTATTTTACATTTCATTTAATTTTAATTATTAGTTATGTTTTATTTCATTTATTATTATTACATTTATTTATTTATTTTCGACGTTTCTGACGACCTTTCCTAGGGCTGTAGCACTAACTAGAAATTAAGCCCCGAACATCCCAAGGTACAAAGTGTAAGCGAACAGTAACCTCAAACTTCTTCTCTTGATTTTCTTTTCATACTAATTCACCATTTAAGTATGCTTAGGAAAAAAACTCATTAATTGATATAATTCTGATACTGTCCCTTTACTATCCGAAAGAAAATATAGTATATTGTTTCAGTTATTTGGTGTGCAAAAGCACAAAATAATTGTAGAAGGAAAAAAAGAAATCCGCATTTATTTTTCACGTAATGAAATATAAAAATTTTTCTTCTCTTCGGAATCAGTTAATTACAGATACCTAAGAATTTATGACAGTGATATAAAAGTTCCGTGTTCACACATGTCACATTAATTTCGATAAAAAACGGCATTAAAACAAACCTTCCATAATTCGGATAGAAATTTTTCTTCTCTTCGGAATCAGTTAATTACAGATACCTAAGAATTTATGACAGTGATATAAAAGTTCCGTGTTCACACATGTCACATTAATTTCGATAAAAAACGGCATTAAAACAAACCTTCCATAATTCGGATAGAAGAAGAAAGTAAATTACAGAGAGAGAAACAGAAGAGGAACTTTGTAAAATTGATTTCTAAGTGCGATGGCCATGCAATATTGTACAGGATTGTAAAGACAATCTGCTGTTATAGATTACTCAAACAATTTGTTACATATTACTGTTGGATTTCTGAACAAGAACTTTAATTGCTAAGCTATTTAAGTACTACATATTATTAATGAGCATAATTTTTTCCGGTGAATTGCCTCAGCATTTTTTTTTCATTTTTTGTGTTATATATTTATTAATTTGAATTTAATAAGGAATTATTAAAACTCCTTTTAGTTTAGTGTCAATAACAACAAGTATAAAATTACTAAATATTGTAATAGTATTTACCAATAAATAACTGCATAAAATTTGCTCTGTAAAGAGTGAAAAAGTTTTTACAGTACTTTGTAGAAAGAAATATTTATTATCAAAAGATGTCCTACAGAAAGAGATATTTATTACCGCTATATTATAAAGGAAGAATTGAAATGAAGTACTACTAAAGCTGTTCGCCCATTTTTTAGACCATATTCATTGCATTTACATAAATATTTTGCCTAAACTTTTTGTGTTTGACATGTTCCATTTGATAACCCTTATTCTTTACTACCATTCTACACTGTAATTTTCAAGACAATGAAACATTTTTAGTAGCGAATGAAGTATTTTATCCCATTCCTCTTGAACAGGTTTCCGAAGTTCAAGGAGAATTGTAGCTCGACGTTTGAACAACCCGGTTTTTAAAAGTCCAAAATCGCAAAAATGCATTTGTGGTAGATCAGGATATTTATTACGGATATGAGTGAAGGGTATGCCCTTTGATACCCGTTTATTGTTCCATTTTTCCCGGAAATTAACAGTGGGTTTGGACGTGCGGCTTCTTGCCATGTCTTAATACAATTCTGTTAATTGATGGCTCAGTGAGTAAAACGAAGGTATTGAACATTTGAAAATTGGGTACAAAATATGTTTCTGATAATATTTGGAGTTTATTTCAATTTTTATTTGTCGTTATATCAAAAACCGGAAACAATCGTAAATCCCTTTGAAAACTTTCTTTATATTATTTGAGCCATGTTTTTAAGATATTTTTCTTCTCTTTCATGATAATAAATAGATCTCTTTTTGCTGCGATCGTTTAAATACATCTAAGATTCATCGTCTGGGAGACATTTTTCCCATTTTTGTCTGAATAGTTGTTTAGATTTGAAATTTTCATAGAGAATTGTGAAGCGAGTTCTGCTTTCAGAGATATGTTGTGTGGAAAGACGATGCACATTTCGTGGCATCCTTTGACTTCGAAGATTTTCTTTTAACATTAAATTTCTTACCTTTGCAAGATTTGAAACAGTTTGAACAATTTTTATCCTGGAAGCCAAACATTGACATTTTTCCTTTCTTATTGAAAATATTTTCTCTCGTTGTTTTAGATACAGAAAAAATCATGGCTTTCACCGGATTTATAATAACTAAATACGAATAATTGTTTTCGTAAAGAACATTTTCATTGTATTGTCCGTTGCTTCTTATATGCGCCATTTTAGCGTGAAAACAAAATTCTCAAATAGCAAACTCTTTCAAAAGTATAGCTACAGGGAAAAAATTCTAAGCAGGCTATTTTTATGGCAAAGCAAATTCGTCTAAAAAGTGTGCGAACAGCATCTGTATATTCTTATGATTTCATATTTAACTATAATTTATTTCTTGATATCACTTGCATCCACAGAGATTTTCCTCTAAGAGAGTTTAAAATGTTCTTATATATAACAACATATAACTTTTCCGAATGGAATATTAATGTGTTTTGTTTAATTTTTTAAGACTTTTACATATAGTTATTGTTAATAACGCACCGATTTACAAATATGAGAGAAATGTCTTTTCTATAATGATACTTTTTGTTAGTTTATTTTATGTTATATTTAAATAAAGTTGATAGTATCAGTTTCTTGGTAGATGTGACTATTACAATTGTCAGGACATTATATGCATTTTATAGTCATTTTATGTTACTACAAACTGACAACTAGCAGCTCCTTTATAAATTTTTTGCAGTTATATTTTCATTTTATTAAAATGTACTAATGATTTATATGTTTTAATTCTTGATGCTGTTAGGATAGTATACATGATATGAGAATGAACGATAATGCTTTATTATGTACGTACAAATATAGTAAGGATTTTATATCTAACTTTCATCAGTTTTTTTTTTTTTTTTTCAATAGAAATTTTAATACCGCCTATAATCCAAAAATTCCCTTCCTTTTCTAAAGCAGAAAATTAAAAAATATCATTTTAAAAATAATCTTCGAGCAACAAAACGATTATGCAAATATAATGTATTATATTTGCATAAATCACTGTTTTTTAAGTTCTGACTGATTTAGTTTAATGATAACATTTCGAAATAATTTATGTTAATTGATTTCAAATATGCAGTTCTTTTTAATGGGAAGGGATTTTTTTTACATTATTTATTTATTTATTTTTGGTTAGTTGAGTTCGAGGTCGTCATGCATAAGGTGTGTTTCAGTTTTTAACATTTTAGGGCCTTTCTCTTTCTTAAATTTTTACCTGCATGCGAAGGAAATTTCAGTAAATAAGTAACTAATGAATCTTATTTGAAAAATGATAATTTAAAAATAATTTTAGATATTAAGTTATCAAATATTAAACATTAGTAATAAATAATTGTCAAAATTTTACCTCTGTTATCAAATATTAAACATTAGTAATAAATAATTGTCAAAATTTTACCTGTGTTTCCTTTTAACAACAATTAAGTTGTTTATGTATTTTAAAGACAGAAATGTGATCCCTTATTTTTCGTGGCATATATACGTATATGCCTTTTCTCAGGAGCATGTGTAGTTTATGTGCGAAAATGAGAGATCCTTTTTTTATGTCTTAAAATAAGCTGAACATTGTAATTGCTTTTACAGCCCAAAAAGCATAATTTTACAAATTTCCCATTTTATTACTGGCATCATGTTCTTCATTTGTTACTAGTAAGAATATTGCCTTTATTTGAAGTAAAAATATGTTTTTGGAAACTGGAAATATATGATCAAATTTTCTAAAAGGAAATATGTATATGGTTTTAAGAACTGTCGTAAAAACTTTTACGAGGTTACAGAGTAACATCATCCTTTAGATTATCTTCCAAATATAATAGCTATTTACAGATATACTTTTTAAGTTAATGGATACTTTTTCCTGATATTTTTTACTTTAGTTTCTGGATATACCTCTGAAAATAGAAATTTATTTATCAAAACATCAAGATTAATTTCCTGTTTTATTAAGTAATATAATTAATAATGCTTTCAAAATGTTATTAAGTTACTCATTCATATTTTAAATTTAGTCGTTTTATTATTGTTATTTGTTTTTTGAACTATAGTTCTTTTAATGTAATCAGTTGTTGTCAAAAGAAATTTTAGAACTGTATATTTGTAGTCGTTAAAGAGAATTGTAAAGCTTGTATATTGTGTAAAATTTAATGTTACTATTTACAATGCAAGTTGTAAATAAAATGTTTAGTGGATATGTTTGAATATTTTTCTAGATGTGTACTTTTTCTTTAGAAGTAGATATATAAATATATACATATATCAGCTCAATCAGTTTATATATTCAACTAAATCAAGAAGCCTTCTTTATGCTCAAAACGCTGTAACATTTTAGACCCAACATTAATTTTTATGAATAACAGAATAATCCAAAAATTTCGTTTTTATAAAATCCTATAATTTTTCACAATTAAAACCAAAAACGTTTCAAATGGAACAAAAAAAAAAAAAAAAAAAGCCCAAAATCTATTTTAAAATCAGCAGATATCTTTAAATTATTCATAAATTCAATGAAAAAACGAAACTGAAAAATTGAGAAAATTAGCTTTGTCTTAAAAAATAAGGAAAGCATTTTACAAATATTTAGATAATATCTCTACAAACTATAATATGTTCGCTGATATTGCTAAAGACATAGCGAATTAAGGGGTATCAGCAACTCCTGTACCGACAATGTTAAACTGGCCCTTTCGATGTACCTTTTCTCAAAATCTGCTGTAGATACATGCTTAATTTGTTTTGTGTAATTAAATTATACCTATCTGATTATACTGAAATAAGCTTTTGAAACATTTTGAATTTTAGAGTAATTTACAGAATATTTTGTTAAGCATAGTAAAATTTAG